GACAAAAGAACAAGAATTGCCAAAGTGAAAGATTGTGACTTTCTGTTTATCTCTTTTTTTTTTGTTGTAGTGGGGATTGAACTCGGGTCCTTGCACTTGCAAGGCAGGTGGTGGAACCACTGAGCTAAATCCCCAGCCCAAGACTGTGACTTTCAAGGATGACTTAACAAATAAAAAAAGCCTTGTTCTTGTAGATCATTCATTAGAGGAAACCGGGATAAAACAGCTGCCAAGTTAGAAGAGTCAAGCAGCCTGGGAAAGGCCTATGTGGGGAGGAATTGATGTTTCTAGCCAATACCAAGTTGCTACTCATGTAAGGAACTCACTCTTGAGGGGAATCCTACAATCACAGGTGCTGTGAGCTCTTAATGCAACTTTATGAGACACTGAATAAGACCTACCATAAACTACCCCTGAATTCCTGACTCATTCAAACTATGAAGTAAAGTTTATTGTTTTAAACTACTAAGTTTAAAGGTAAATTGTCACAGTAATAGGTAACTAGTACATAAGTAGGTAAAATCCTTAATTTCTGATGGGGATGCTAAGGCACATGAAATGAAAAGTTTAAGTACAGAGGCTATCGAGGCAGAATGAATAGGAATCCTTGCTACTTACTCATACAACTATTAGTATTTGTGGGAAACTAATACTTGTACTAATACTTTGTAGGAATACTGATTGGGCATTTTTAAAGCAATCTGTTTGCCTCAGATCCATAAATTCCATACTTACATAGTATATGCACTATGCCACTGTTCTTAATACTAAAAAATACTGAAACAAAACTTAATACCGAGACAAATCTAAACATCCATCAAAGTGAATTGGTAATTACTGTACAACTATTCATTTGACTACTATACAATATTAATGAATAAAATGAAATATATAAGGGAAGCGGCAGTTACTAATAAAAAAATTAAGTATGTTTGAGTTTATGTATTACATGTAGATATAATTTTTAAAAGGATAAAGTCTACAGTGGTTACTTAACTAGAGGCATGCTTTTCACGTTTTTGCTTTACTATAGCAAACCCAGATTATTTAACTTAAGGGAAAACTAGTGTTTAAATGAAAAAGTTTTACTGCATCAATACTAAGACTATACCAGACTATACTACAATTCTGGGAATAGGCACTGAAAAAAAGGCTGGAGATTTCATCTCATCTTATGAATTAAAATCAATACATGCCGGTTATTTTCATGTCACTGTCTTCAGCCCTGACTTTTCTCTGTAATCTAGAATCATAACATGTATTACTCCCACCTGAATGTTTAATAAGCATCTTTAACTTAAATCTTGAGTTCTCATCTCAACCCCTAACACTGCTCCTTTTCTCAACTTTTTAGATCTCAGGAAAGAACCCAAATATTAGACAAAATTGACATAATCAAAATCCAGGTGTAATCTTTAACTCAATTTCTCTCACATCAATCTATCAAAAAATCCTCAACTCCACATTTCAAAACAAATCCCAATTCCATCTCCACATTCAGCATCCTGGCCCAAGCTGTGACTGCTTAAAACTATGCACAAGCCTCATAATTAATTAACTGCTCTCTTTGCATTCTTTTTTGCCCACCCTACTATCCAATCTCCATACCCACCAAAGAAACCTTTAAAAAAATTCATAAATGAAGTATTTCTCCCTTGCTCACAAAGGCTTCCCATTTTTACCTGGAAAAACACTAGTCTATAACACCCTACATGGTTTGGTCTTCTATTCATCTCAGCAACAGAGGTGCTTTTTGTTTGTTTGTTTGATTCCCAAAACAAACTACTATAAGCCTTTGCCCTACTAGATCCTTACAGAAAACACTCGAGTGCTCATTATTCAGATCTCAGCTTAAATGTCACCTTATTAAAACGGCCTCCTGTGACTAGTCAGTTTAAAAGTAGCAACCCAGTTAAGCACTAACACATCACCTTGTCCTATTCACTTTTCTAGGTACCACATACTATTACCTAGCTATTTAAATTTGATTTTTTAAAAATTATTTCAGCCCACTAAAATGAACAATGACAGTATAATCTGATATCTAATTAACAAATAATTTGTTAATCAACACACAAGCAAACTAGACTGAAGGATGTTCACCATAGAATGTATTCAATGCATTTGAAAGGTCTTTATTAAAAGCCCACTGTGTGCTAGGCATCTAAAGAGCAAAGGTCTAGCATAAGTCAGGCACAGGAGTGCTTGCCTGTAGCCCCAACACTTGGGAGAAGGACCATAAGTTTTGAGCTTCATTTCATCAGTTTAGCAAGACCCTGTCTCAAAACAAAAATAAAAAGGGTTGGAGATATAGCTCAGTGATAGTATACTTCTGGATTCAGTCCCCAGTGCCCTTTCCCCTGCAAACTGCCATAAATGTCTAGCAGAAACTATGGCAGATTTTCCAGTTTCTCCTGTATTTTTTTTATCAATATTCAAAAACCCCTTAACTTCATCTGTTGTATATTTTAATGTATTCACTACTCAATTTCTATTACAAGGGACTATATGCAGCATGACTATATTGAAAATACAATAAACCCCAACAAATCATTTGTAGATGATTTTGCAAATACTGTACAGTGGACTCGATTTATGAATCAATCCGTTCAAGAGAGCTGGTTGTTACTCAAATTGGTCAACTAAAGGCTCAGGCTGCTCTACACGGCCTTCAAAGTCTCTCTCCTGTATACAGGCAGATATCAATGTTCTTAGAGAGACATTGGCCCAGGATTTTTTAAATTAATTGACCCCACAGAGGAAAGGATGTTGTAATGCTCCTTCCAGAACTCTTTAAGAGTTAAATCTATAACTGAGACCATCCGGCTGGTACTTGGGTAATAACTCAAGACTATTCGTAAGTCAAAGCTAAAAAATCTGGTCGTAAGCCACTGTATGTAGTAGTGGTTGTAAGGAGCCACTGTATGTAGAATACTAAAGTAGCAGTCTCTCTAGCATCCTGTTATTTTAGATATATGGCTAATGTCCCCAGTTACATAGTTTCACAACAAATTAGAAACAGCACACTTAAGACTCACGCATTATTAACATTTTCAGTTTCTTTTCTAGTGGAATTCTAAAGCACTGTATAAATATGTATTAATCAAAACTAAAGTAAGGGATGGGGTGTAGCTCAGTGGCAGAGACTAGCCTAGTGCCTGGTCTATAGGAGACCCTGGCTCAATCCTAGACACTGGCTTGAAAAATATTTTTACAGCATTATTTTTTACATTTATGTCAATAACACTGCAACAAATTATATTTATATAAATGGTTAACAAAAAGTTGAAGATACCACTCTGTAATAATGAACTTATTGAAAACATAGTCATGCAATACTTATTACATTTTCCGGAAATAAAGTGGAAAACAGTAAGTGGTTAAGAATTTATACAAATAAAGCATTGGTTGTTAAGATAACGTAAGTGTAAACCGATGGAAGAACTGTACAAATCTTACAGAGCTTAAATATTCCCACTGCACGTGGCGTACGTACACTTAACTTCAAAAAACCCCCACAGATTTACACAGAATATTCTGTAGCTTTCCCTAATTTCGGAATTCTCTATATTATGAACTAATAAAGTTACTGTGGGACCAATACTTATCACCACAAAGAACCAAAGTCAAAGAAGCATTTTATGTCATTTTGTCTAAAATCATTAAACAGACAACTGCATTTCAACTTTTATCCTTCAACTTACAAGAACACATTAAGCAGCAAAAGAATAGTCAAGAATTTGATTCTATTAGTAGTATCAGTTCATAGGACGTTGACAATTACTTCTGAAGACACTGTTGTATCTTCTTTATCTTTAAGAATTTATTACATAAAATGTCTACTACTACTTTAATGTTTTAATATCAAACCACTTTGTGCCACAGTCCCCAGAAGTGGGAATTCTCCATTTTTTAAGCAATTAAAGATGTAGAAAACTTCAGATTAAATCAGATAAAGCATAACACTACATTTTCACTCTAAGTAGCCACTGATTAACTGATCTCACCTACTGATCACCAACCAAGAGTCATTTAATCCTCTTATCTCTACAGGTATTACTACTATTGTAGAAGATACAACCCAGAGTAGTTTGCTCAAGGCTAACTGAGCAAGTTAAGATCCAATGCTACAAGAGGAGTTTAATTAGCACCAAGGCCCTTGATCTGCACCCAAAATCGAAATCAACTATTTAAAAATATACAGACGGGCAGTAAACTATTGTTTCAAACTTAGCATTACATAAATCTTAACCGTACTCAACATCACAATTCCAAAACATAATAAATTGACACTCAAAGGATCTTCTTGATTCTTGTGTTAAGGTCAACTAATTTCTCTTTTTACAGTGAGAAATACAGAAAACGATATTAGAATTTATCAACTGCACCTGGGAAGTGTTTACGACTTTAACTGCAGAAGAAATTTAAAGTTTTTGGGGTTTTTTTCCCTTTTTTTTTTTTAACCTCCTATTGGGGTATCGGAGGTGCACGGTTCCAGGACTTCCAAATCAGAGGCTAAATCTGGGGCTGAATTTGCACCTGGAGTTGAAAGACTCTAATGCAAACTCTTCACCACCAAAGAGGCCTCGGGGTGTAATTTTCATGTGGGTGCGCGTTCGGTGGCTGAGGGCCATCTTAAAGCGATCCGAGGCAAACGCAAAATGAAAAGGCTAACAATTCTAAGAGAAAGGGGGCAAAAAACTCATTTTCCCCACCACTCAACTCTCTCTAGGCTGCAGACCGAACCTGATACTTTTTTTTAAGTCTCATCATCTCGGATTACCGACTCCTAGACCTCAACGCCCAACAACCGAGTCCTTGCAGGGGTAGTGGCGACGCCTACATCTCCCTCCCCCACCTGTGCACCACCCCAGAGAGCCAGGTTCCAAGGCGAGGCTGCCCCGACCTCCCCTCCCCCTCCGGCCCCAACACCACGCGCTCGCGGCCGAGGCCCCAGTGCCTGCGGGCGTGTGCTCCTCCACGCCACCCGGCTCCAGGCCTTCGGGGTCCGGCGACTGCTTACTCATTCTCCAGCCACAAGCCCGTAGTGATTCGAGGGAGGCAGCCCGCCACACACCGCCGGGGCCCAAACGCATCCGGCCTCTCACCCGCGCCCTCC